CTCTCTCTCTTTCTCTCTCTCTCTCTCTCTCTCTCTCTCTCCTGCCACGTTTGCACCCGACTTGGGAAAACGCGCTACGTGTTTCTTCTGAGACGACCTTATCTGGGCACCACTCGTCGCAGCAGCAGCAGTCTGTGCCCATGATCCTTCCCGGTCATCCTCTTCTCAACCCCCCCCCCCCCCCCCCCCCCCCCCCCCCCCCCCCCCCCCCCCCCCCCCCCCCCCCCNGCCTCTCTCCACCTCGATTGGGCATCGGTAGTCGGTCCTGTGGTGTGTTAACAATCATCTCGATGAGGACGCATGGTCAATGGTCTAACCGCGAAGGCGTGCAAAACTTGAGTATGCCCCCTCCCTCCCTCCCACCTCCGCAGGAAGCACAAGCGGAGATGCTCAGCCTCCAACAAACACCCCCCTCGGCGACAAGCACGGCTGCTGAACCGTCCTCCCTAAGACCGACCAGTAAGGCCACGTCTTCGCCCTTCAGAGTTAAGGCCCCCGCCGCCGCTCCGTCGTGGGGTTTCAAAGTCAGCTTGCCGGCCACGCCGACCTTCGGAACCGCAGCGGGGCAAGGTATTCATTCACAAGGCTCAGTAGAGGTGCCCAGCTGATGGAGTGTCTCCCTGTCCCCCAAACGCTATTTTTTTCGTTCATGCGTAGAAAAACGCCCTGAAAATGCTGCTACTTTTTTTTTTTTCCAGTTCATGTTTTTTCATGCTGCGGACATGGACTTCGAAAGATGGGTCCCGTCCTCCCCAGGTCTGTGGGAGGACGATCACCTCTTTTTCACAATCTGCCGGTTTTGCGATACTGCCATACGCTACCAGAACTCCTTTGGCGTGCACGAATGCAAGGATATTGAAAATCGTGGGGTGGTCTTCTTCCTGTGTGTGATGCTTGCCTAAACGTCCTGTCATACATACACCGAGACGTGCTGCATGACGGCCGGAATACTCTGCTAGATGGGATGACAAACACTCAAAAAATCTCATCCTGTTGTTGTTGTTGTTGTTGTTGTTGGTGTTGTTGTTGGTGGTGGTAAAAACAAACACGTTCGCCCTTATGTTGATGGTTGACAAAGGAACATTTACAGACGGCCAGCCTGAAGCGGCAGACGAGCCGCGCAGCAAGGCGAAGAAACGAACCAAATCCCGGAGAGCAGACGCGGCAGTCTCCGGAGCTTCCGCTTCTACCGCGGCCGTGGACCTGAAGGCAGAGCTGCGCGCAGAGTCCGAAAAGGCCGCGCTGCTGCCCTCCCCTCCTCAACAGGCGAAGCAGCAGCAGCATCAGCAGCAGCAGCAGCCACCACCGGTGGTCTCCGGAGATGTTGCTGGTGCGCCGAAGTACGTTGCCCCGGCGCCTCTGTATGAACCGGCGGAGGAAAGGATTACGTCAACGACGTCGCCTGCGAAGGGATTGGCGGCAGGCGTTCCTGGTATTGGTGCGGGGGGGGAAGAGAAAAGCGACGCGGGGCTGGAGGGGGTCACAGTGGCCGCCCGTGCCTCGCTGGAGAAGCTGGACTTGAGAGACGTCTCTCAACAGGTACTTGCTTTTTTTTGTATTGTTTTTCTACAAACAGGTTCATCTCTTCCACAAATACTGTCGAGAGTCCGGGATAGACTTGCAACGAATTTATTGATAGATGAGGACCAAGCTTGTAATTATACGGTTCCCCGGGCGTACCTTTCGTGTTCGTCAGAGCCAGAATACACCCTCGGTTGCGTGCTCCCTAGTTAAGTGGAAGAACGTTGGCAAATAGCCAATTTTCTCCCCCACGTTCTAGCAGGCGGAAACGTTCTCGATTCACATTGTACCCAGGGTCTGGTTTTCTTTGCCGCGTCTGTTGCGTCAGTCTCCATGACATCACCAGCAGAGATCGGTTGCAGTTTCCATGACATCACCGGCAGAGATCGGTTGCACGCCAACCGATCGTTGGAATCCAAAACCATCAGACTATCTTTTCGTCGATAGGTCACGAACTGCCTAGATCGATCAACCGTTGACGTGTTACTTTCAGCGGCGGCTGCAGTCGGCACGTCTCTCCACAGAGACCATTACTAGAACCTGTCGGAAGTATAACTAACCATTTGCGCTCATACAAAGTGCAGGAAGATACGATCCATCGGGGTAACTTGCCATCGGGAGAGTGACAATTAACATCGTTGAGATGTGCCGCTTCTCGAGAGTGGAGGCAGAGAGTCTTCGACTCTCCTTCCCCTGCCCGCTGCTGGTCACTCTTGCTCTACCTCTCTCCTTGTTACACCTCACGAAAGGAAATTGCAGTGGGAGAATACTGCAACGGCACCGGCCTCTGTCATTGACGGAAGCCTGTGTCCTCAGGCATCGAGATCATATTGCAAGTTCCGCCAGGTGCCGCGCGGCGGGTTGAATTGAACTTGCGCACGTGTTTAACCTCCCCTTGTCTCTCTCAACATCGACCTTTTCCCCGATCACTGTATGTGTCAGGTGGAACCTTTCACCGAAAAGGTCGGGAGTGCTTCCGAAGCCGGAGTGGCCGCGGTACTGGAGCAGGTATTGTATGTGTCAAGGCGTGCCGGTCGACCTGCAATAGCAGTTGCAGTAGCGCTGTCGTGCCTCCAGGGTAATATTAGCTTACGTGCCAACGCGATCACCGCCTTTGTCTCGTCTCGGTGCCGGAGATCAAAGGCTACCGTTGAAAACTCTACCGAGGCTACCAAGAATCTAGTCGAGATCACGCCCGCTCAACACCGCACGTGCTACGATCGTGATTGTCCCGCTTCCGACTCCCCCCCCCCCCCCCCC